GATCTCAACTATGCTAAAACTAATGACTAGTGACTGGTTCAATGATAAAAAGGCATCTTATGGCAGTATCGTCTTGTCCAAATTGAAAAGGGCATTTTTGACTATAAAAGAATAAGTTAGGGATTTTTGAAAAATATAACAGTTATGTCACATATAGGGGTGTAAACGGTATTCGGAAATTCGATTTTGAATTAGATATTTGACATAATTGAATCGAATTCGGATAATTTGAATATCTAATCAGTCGAATTTGGATATTCCATTCATACCGAATGGTTAATCGGATTCGAGTTCGGATATGACCTGATTCGATTCGATAAATATCCAAATTTGACCGATTATTTAATTATTATATATAATATATAAAATATTTTATATAATTCATATATAATAATTAAGTTATATATAATTTATATATTTATATACTTTATATCAATAAAATATTTATTTTATATATTTTTTAATTATCTAAAATAATTAATTAATCGAATACAAATTGAATATTCAAATATTTAATTGGATTGAAATTTGGATATTAATTTTCAATATCTGTTAGATATCAGATTGAATTCGGATATCAGATTTTCTAATCGGATTCGAATTCGGATTTACCTAATCCGATTCGAATTCGATCCGTTTACACCCCTAGTCACATGTTTGGTTACGTCTATTGAGTAAACGTTTTGTACTTGTGTGGCTGCAAAACCGAGAAAAGCAATTAATGAGGGCGTTTATAACACATCGGTGCCATTCGGCACCACATCATCAAAGTGCCAATAAACATATACCAATTCCAGGAAACTCCAAAATGAAACTTCTTGAAACGGGAAAGGCACATAGAAATCGATGTTTGCTTTTACAAACAAACATCGATTCGTACAGATACAATTAATAAGACCTCTGCTGATGAGGTGTCTTTGTGATACCGTTTACTCAATAAACCTAAATGGAACCAAACACATACTTATTCAATAGAATAGTAGTGGTGTATGAACATTTGATATGTAAAATACAAAATATATTAAAGTATTATCCAAGTAAAAGACAATGTGATGATGACTCTTGAAAACTGCCCTTTCTTTAATATTATTTTATTAGAAAAAGAATAGTGAAAAAGACAATGACCAAAATTGTGATGATGTCTAGAGGTGTAAAGTGGGCCGTCCAGTGGGCAGCCCGTGGAAAGTGCAGGCCATGCCGTATCGGCCCGTGGGCCGACCCTTGGACTAGGTCGGGCCGTGCATCGGGCCAAAGCTATTTATTTAAAAAAATTGACAAAAAACTTAAAATTTTAATTTTATATGAATTTTGTGTATAAAATTGCTTATATATGCAATAATTAAATAAATTAAAAAAATATTTATTGTATTAATATATTATATATTATTATATAATTATAATTTAAATATTATATAACTATATATAAAATATATATATGGGCCATGTCGGGCCGTACCATGGGCTGTGCTGCAGGTTGGGCCATGCCAGCCTACAAGCCGCGGGCGGCACGACTAAGTGTCATGCCATGCCGGCCTATGGACCTAAACCCCCAGGCCCAATACGGCCCACATGGTCGTGCCAGGCCTGGCATGGCCCGTGGACCATCGTGCCGAACTGATCCAAGTTCGTGCCATGCCGTGGGCTGCACGGCCCGATTTACACCTCTAATGATGTCTTTTAACTTTTATGATTAATGAAAAAGAATTAGTATCTTAGTACCTCACTTGAGAAGCATTAGAGTGTTATTCAAGCATACGAATTCATTCATGCATGGCTAAGGTTTCACGGCGTTTCAGGACATTCAAACTTTGGCTTACGTTGATCGGAACCATCCAAGCTCTCTTCCTCTCTTATTTGTCGTCACTTTCTATTCTTTTCTTTATCACTTTTCTTAAAATTTTTAGGTATTTTTTCTTGTTTTAGCTTTTTTTTGAAGTTCTTTTTTTTTTCTTGTTCATAGGCCACACATCGGAAGGGTTTCTTACTTAATCTAATAATATCTAGAATTAGGGTTTTTAATGTTTATACATTGGTAGAATTCGAAATCATTTGAATAATGATTCTTTAATTGAATTCAAATTTAGTTTGAAGTTTTGATTATATAATGGATATCGAATTGAATTCAAATAAATTGTTCTTTAATTGGAACTGAATATGAATATAGTTTGATTTGATTTGAATTCACTCCGTTTATAAGCCTATTAGGTGATAATTCAAATGATTCAACTATCCAAGAGGGTGTTTGATAGTGCGAATATATCGTAGATGGGACTATTTTGGTCCTATCCATAGTAGAATGTGGCATTCTCTTTTGTGTGGATGGTCCCCCTCCACAAAATAACATGGATAAGGACAGACCACACCCCAATTTATCATCCATATTATTTTCTTGTAGCATTTGTTTTGTATGAATGGTCTCCATTTACAAAATAGTATGGATAGGGACGGACTCACCCCAATTTATCATTCATAGTATTTTATCATAGATAGGGCACATTATGGTGTAAACAATTTATAGAAAGAATTCTGTCATTAGTAATTACTTGAATTTTATCTAGTTTAATTTCACTTTATTCATCACCGTGTTTTATATTTCAATCTATAATTTTGTAGGGAATGTTTCAGCTCAGTCTTGTGGCCTGAAGGCTGAAGGTCCATGTGTATTTTCCCTTAAACTCTTAAATGTGGCAAAGGTTTCTAAGAGTGGCAAAGGTTTCAATCTAGAAGGCTGTACCGGATGCCAAACAAAGCCATGGTATTTTCACTTTCTTCTCTTCTTTATTTTTTTTTAACTTAAAAATTAAGCCTGAGTTGGACTATGCTAATGAAAACATAGAAAATGTAAAATAAATTAAACTTAAATATCAATTTAATTATAATTTTGGCTTTGAATATATCTCCAGTTTGACGCCAATACAACCTTCTTTTTTTTTCTTTTTAATTTTGATGATTGAGTTTTATTTATTAGATTGGAGTAGGCCTTTCAGACCCAAGCTCAAAATTTTGTTTTTGAATAATGCTAATTGAAATTTGTAAAAAACATAGTTTCCAAATTAAAAGCCGCTTTTGTTTGCCGGCATGAAAGCCAAGTAAAATGGCAAGGTTTCCTTTCCATATTGTTGGAGGACAAAGTTCCTTAAGTTGATCACATCTATTTTTATATATTTAAAGAATAATTCTGAGTTGTCCACGCCATTTTATTATGGGGGATTTACCGTCCAGGCATGGGCATAATTATAAACATTTAAAATCTCATAAACCCCTATTTTATACACCAATGTTCGCCCRTGAATTGACATTAATTCCGAGCTAACACCCATCCCAACTGTACTTTGAACCTATAAATTCCGACTCTGGGCTGAACCGTTATTCTCCTTAAAAAATATTTTCAAAAGCACTGTAATCATTTAAAAACTTCAAAATTTTATTCTTTTCAATTACAAATCTCCCTCAATTCCATTGGCCTATATCCACGTCATCCCGGTCCTTTAATGTTACAAGTGAATACTGAAAATGCTCCTTACAATATGACTTTTGCCCCTGTATAGAAAAACCCAGAAATACCCCTCATTTAACATCCTATGATTAAATGTAAAACATTTAAAGTTTCTCTCTCCTCCCTATTTACCCACTCAACTAAACCAACTACCCAAATCGTTAATCGGTAAATCCATCCTATTCACTTTCGTTCCGGCCTCCAACCGACCCAATGCCCTTCTGTTCTTCCAATCACCGGCGTTCTTCATCTCGGTTTTTGCAGTAGTTCGTCGACATTCGCTTGTTGCACAGACGTAGACAAAAGACTGACACCGAGGTGAACTTTCTGTTCTTCCCCGGACTACAATGAAACAAGGTATTTCAATTAAACTGGCTGCTTCAAGTTCATATTGCAATGTTAAAAAAATGGGAATATCTTGTTGTTGGACGAAATAAGTGATTTTGAAATATCTTTTGGATTACGAAGTTGCTCGCCTATAATTTTACATCGGAAAAATTAGTTGTCCATCCCTTGTTTTTTTTTTCTAAAATATTGCATCTGATTGAACCAACCCAACATTCCAGTGTGTATCCTGTAACCCACACTCGCATTCAAACCCCATCCACAGTCCATGTTTTTCATGTTCAGTATCTTGTATGTATGTTTTTTTATTGTTTGATGGCAAATGTTTTGTGTATTTACAATTTGTTGAAGGTAAATATTTTGAAACCAATGGCATCGAGGGGAGTTTGCACCAGATGTTCATCAAAACGCTTCAATGACTTTATTTCAAACTTGCGGTTAAGGAGAGAGCACAATGAAGCTCTTAAGGCCACCCCCTTTGGACAACTACTAGACATTCCACCAAGCACTTTTGATAAGGTGCTTATCATGGAGATGGTACAACGGTGGRACTCAGAGACCACGACATTCAATTTAGGTGGTGAGTATATATCATTTACCAACGGAGACATTGCACTAATATTGGGACTGAGGTTAGAAGGACATCCAGTGATCATAGACACCAACTTGCCTTCTTCAGAGTTCATTAGTAGTTTGTTTGGAGTTAGCGGTGATTCCTCCACGCAACTGCTTCTGAGCACAATGAAGGATAAGGTCCTTAGTATAGTGCATGAGGAATCAAATGAATCAATAGAAGATGTGGTGAGGGTGATTCTCTTGCACCTATTTGGGTCGGCTTTGTTTCCACGAGGGGGGGCTGTGTGAGCCTTGTGTGGGCTAGTTTTATCAATGATCTGACACACATATCCGAATATTCTTGGGCACGGTGTGTGCATCAATTCATTGTACATGCCCTTAATTGTGTTGGATGCACAAGCAAGCCTATGAACGACAGTCAACAGTCCTTTTCAGGCACATTATTTGGCTGTGTTGATGTTATGATGGTGTGTACTTGTGACTCAAGCCTTTCTTGATGGTCATGTATTGTTTTATGTGTAATGGAAGAAAATAGTTTACTATTGGTATCTCTAATTGGATGTAATTCTATTGCAGGCGTGGTTGTGTGAGAACAGTATAGTATTTAGGCCATCAAATCCCACTGCTAGGCTACGGCTATTGAAGTGGGGCAAAATGGGGTACAACGGTAGCTTCAACAGTAAAGTTTATTCAGAAAATAATTATTGGAACGGTTAGTATATGATTGATACTCTCACTTCACCTCCGTTTATTGTTAATAGTCTAGGCATTTACATTATTTATATTTCCAAGTGGTTGATACCCTCGCCCCAGCCGATTATGAGTTGGAGCTACTTGGTAGTGCCCCGATATTATCTACTGGGGATGGTGGAGAGACGCAAACTCCTTTTTGTGATTCATACAACCTTGTAAGTTGTAAGCATGCATCATTCATTTTAATTACATAATTGACAATTTTGTTCATATTAATTATTATTAAATATGTTGGATTGTAGGCCTCATTGTCCATTGATGTTGTTCCGACCAAAGTTGGGCCAAACACAGGGCACCGTATGACACTATTTCATATTGGGGTAGAACAATGGTATGTATGAGTTAATAGGAATTTTTTGAAATTACGATTTTTTCTTTACATGTCTAATTTGGTGTTGTGATCTTGATGATGCAAGGTGTGTGTGCACACTGTGTTGAATCTATTGAGTTTGAGCAGCTTTGTATGAAGGCAGCCCGAGCAGATTTTTATGGTACTAAAATTGGTCATTTGAGGTTAGACGTTGATTGACTACATGGGATATTGATAGTGAATGGCATCAATCCCGATGCCTTCCTTGTGCACATAGATCTAGTTGTACCTGCTAAAGATGAATGTGTGGGAGAGGCGTCAAGACTGAATGAGGATTCATTACCTCACCCGATCCTAGGGATAGCATTCCTCTTTTGTGTGAGATAGTTTCACCCCAGTCATGGGTGAAGAATGTATATAGAAGGTGGAATAATGTGGGAAAGCATAAGCGTTTTCCTAGTAGTGCTGTTGTTTCCCCTTTTCAGCCCCCTAATGACGCTGGGAAGGCGGCTAAGGAATTTGCCATTGCAGCAGCTCACACCAATGAGTTAGTATGGCTTTTCACGTGGTTATGTAAGGTATGTTTCATTCAACCTTCAACATTTATTGGTTACTCGTGCTTTTGCATATTGTCACAGGTGGTAGGTGGGCCGTCAGCGTGGGTAACATTTGCTCAAAAAGACTGAATGATGGCTGAAGATTTGCAATTGGTGCATAATTTCTTGCACAAGGAGATTCGAAAGTAAAAATGCTTTCTTGGTTCATATAACAACAATAGTCATGCACCAAAGCTACCTACCATTTCCATGTATTTTCTGAATATCCTTTGTATTTTTTGTATTTTTTTGTAGGGAAGTATATGTGCTTAAGAATGATAATGTTTCACTAAGTGAAGCAAACCTCCTCCCCCTTTTTAAGATGAATGGTTGGTTGTCTGATGAGGTAAGTACCCATTTTTTTTTTTAATTATTCATTGTAATTGGTTATTGATGGTTTGTTAACTCACTATCACTATTTTGTGTAGGTTATAGATGCATATGGCAGCCTATTGAAGACACAGAGGCAGAATTCTATAAAATTTTAGTATGTGCTTGTAGTGGCTCAAGTGAAATACCCTTTTTTGCATTTCCAACATGATTGTACTACTTTTATGATTAGATTCACCAACCTTTTAGGGTCGGATACATGATTAGTAACAATACCTGCGTAAGGTAGCCTTAAAGAATTTCCTTGACTCCTGGCTTTTGTGCATATTTTTGGTTTCCTCTATTTAGGGATTTGCAACTAATGGGATGTTTGCGAAGCTAAAACCATGGTTGGAACCAATTGCGAAGAAGCGGGTGCAGAAAGTCTTCATACCCATCAATGATCACTCTCATTGGCAACTATTGGTCATTGATCTGGTACAGAAGAGGCTTCACTCGCATAGTTCTATCCATGGGGTATAGGTTGTTTGCAGATAGAATGGTATGCATCCTCAGCATTATATAAGTCTCGTGAGGTTGCATTATTAAATTGGCATTCTAACATTGTTATATTTTTATCGCAAGATAGTAACAAATTTACAAGACGATTCTCGATAACATTGTTAGTGGCATTGGTGGGTGGCCTCATGAACCTGTCGGTTGGGCTCACTGCCAAAAAGGTGGAGATGATTATAGTGTTTTTGTTATCAAGTATATGGATTGTCTGTCTAGGTCGGTGACGTTTGATTTCTCATCGGTGCGCATACTAATTATTATGGTTGTGATTTGATATTTATGATGTCCATCTATGCAAACTCGTATGCTATGTGTTTTCAAATATAGGACATGATTAGAGTTATTCGATGGGAGATCAGTGTGCAACTACTTTAGGGTAAACTAAGGTAAAATGCCCATACATCATGTGAAGGTATGCTACACCTCATTAATTGGGCATGATAGTTATACTTTTTCAAGATCTTGATTATCCTCATTTCCCCTATACTTATTATCTAGTTAGCGTGAGTCTTTTCCTTTATTTGATCAACTATGGGTTTATTTGTTAGGGTAGGACAACGAAGAATAATCTTTGAAATGAGTGACATGTGCAGCTTTGGGATACTTCTTTTTGGATCTCATAACATGACAAGAGACATTAAAAATCAATTCCTTGGGATCCCATGAAAGCTTGATGTGGTTGGCAAAGAAGCATCTACTATGCACTTTTTCAGCTTTTTACTTAAACAAAATTGTTGAGTGTTTGGTGGTAGAAATATAGAATAAACACTATAGTGATGTAGAGAGCATACTAAAATTTGGGTAAATTTCTTAAATTACCCTTATGGTTTATCCAATTGACTAAGTGTACCCTTACTGTTTAAAAATTGACTAACACTACCCCTATTGTTTCTGACAATTGTTTAGCTCTACTCTTGCCCTTAACATCCATTAATATTTCGTCAAAACCCATGCAAACATGACGTTTCATTTTTTTTAAAACCCAATATTACCCTCGCCCCCTCCTCTCAACTCGACACCCCTTTCTTCTCCAACGCTCGTCCCCTTCATCCCGCTATCTCCGTCACACTAAATCAGCGGGAGCAATTGCACCGTATCCACACCGTACCTAGAGGTTGAGGACAGTGACAACTGAAACACTACTGGAGCAATGGAACCGCGATTTAGTAGAAATGGTCATACCACACAACATCTTCCCAAAAAACATGGGTATGTGCCCACCAACCTGCAAACTCTACCCAATCAAAGCTGAACGAGACAAACCCCACTACTCACCGTCGAGATCTTATTTAATTCATCTTGATCTAAAACACTGCTGGAGCCGCAATCCATTTTGCAAGAAACATTGTCATCTTCTCGTGTCGGAGGTTTAGGATGTAGCCGATGATTGAGGGATCCAATATACAAACACTCTTTGCTTCGGTTTTCAATTTCTTTCATTTTAGTTGGAGATTTGATTGTTGAATTTGAATTTGCAGATCGGAATGCGGGTAAAGGAAATGCGTCCCTTATGTTGCATCTTGCTAGAGAGCCCTAGGATCAAGGATCGGTCACTGGATATTTTCGCAATGAGAAGCAGTTTTTCGAGGGGTTCTACTACCACTTACAGTGGATCCGGCTACAATGTCTGAAGGGAGATAGGATCTGATGTTAATGTCATCGAGCTTCTTTATAAGTGCACGAATTACGCTAAGGGATGGAGATCTCGATGGTTTTTCTAGAGAAATGTCATCCTTTCTTACTCTAAGATTTGACGATCGGAGAGTCTCAATATGTTGTTGACGAACGATGATGCCCAATTCTTTCTTCCTCAGTCTTGTTYTTCATCTTCTTTCCCTCTTCTTTCTTCCTCAGCCCCCTTAGATCTTATTTCTAGGCCAAAGAAGAGAGCCTCTCTCTTTCTCTCTCTCCTTCTTTCCCCTGTTTCATCACTGAAGACTGTTTGTTTGGAGGTTGGAGCCATTTCGCATTCAAAGAGGACTGAAGAAAGGGGAAAAACAAAAGAGTGCCCTAGATTTTCTCCTTGGGGAAATTAATGACCATCCACTGATGGACGATCAAGTGAATGAGAGAGGGGAAAAACAAAAGGGTAAAACGAGCATTTTAAATTTTTTGTCCATGTTTAACAGAACTTGTAAGGCTTAAACAATTGTTAGAAACAATAGGGGTAGCATCAATCAATTTTCAAACAGTAAGGGTACACTTAGTTAATTAGTTAAACCATAAGGGTAGTTTAACAAATTTACCCTTAAAATTTAAAACTCCAAGCAAACAAGACTACCAGAAATCTACACATTGTGTTACTTCTTACATTATTGTACTTAACATCTTATTGCCTTTCAAGTAATACATGCTATTACCTCTTATAGCATTGTACTTGACATCTTAATGCATTCCCAAATAATACATGCTATTACGTCTTACAACATTGTATTACCTCACCATTACGAATTGATCCTAATAAAAAGAAGCATAAATTTTCATATTGCGATTATTCAGTTGCCCAATTTAAGTTAGGTTTTGTTTTTTGGTCAGCTAAAAATCTTGTATATTCATTTATATCATGTTTGCATGCAACCTATTAAAGAACCTTAATGAATATTCATTTACAACTTCTTATTCTTTTCTTCCTTATTTAATTTTCCTCTTTGTGATGGTAAAGTAATGTTTGCAATCAAAGAATTTTGAGGAACATCGGCTAGCCAGTTGTTTCACTTTAGAGGGAATGAAGAATTTGACAATGTTGTCGTTTCAAAGCATGAACATGGTTATACAAGGGTAACCCAATATTGACATGATTTTGTTAGAACTTTAACGAATATTATACAACAGTCATGGGTGATGGATTAGCTATAGTTACTCCGGGGAGTCAATTATTTACTTCATTGTGGAATTAAAATGAACAGTCACAATTTTTTGTTTATTACAATCCTAATGCCTATGAATACAATGAAGTCATTTTACTTATAGGATAGCATCTCTCATTGCTTCTCTTTGTTCTTTTCAACCATGTAAAGGGTTCTAAAGGCATTCACTCTCTTAAATGTCCAGTATAAATGTTCAAGAAATCTTAATACTTAAAATGTGATTCATCAGTCATTCACAATTTAAATTATAAATCCCAGTTGTTCCAATTTAATATTAAGTTGTTTTCAGAAAAATCTTATCATAATTGTGCATCTTATAATATGATTATGAAATTTACAAGCTGTTCAATTCAAATAATAAATTAAGCTAGGACTTTGTCGTTTCCCCTCTCTTTAACTTTTAAGATTTTAGTGTGTCTATGTGTATGTGTGTTGTGTTGTATTGTCAATTTTTTTACTAAACAGAAATAATCTTACAATTTATGGAAGACCACGTCCGAAAAAACTTCAGTGCAATTAGGAACGTTAGTATAAAATTATAGGATTCATTTATAACCATAATGATTACACGGAGTTGACTGTGTCACCATATGAGCATGTACATACCGAGATTGAATGACTCATGAATCATTCTTGTGTTTGTTCCAGAGGCCTCATGGATAATATTAGCCTATCTTCGGGCCTGTTCACCTTCAGACGTGGGCAGATGCAGCCGATAGGGATTAATGTGTGGTGTGCATTCACTATGTGCATTATAGCATAGTATAGTCCACATTGGGTGGATTATTCTATGCACATAACGAGATGGAATGATTCATAGGTCATTTTAGTGTATGTAGCGGAGGCATTCGGGACTGGATCAGCCTATCTCTGGGCCCGTTCACCTTCGGACGCAGTTGGACGCGGCCAATAGGGGTGAACGTGTGTTGTTCATGAGATCATTGTTGTGTGTTCCAATCTAGTGTAAGGTTCAAAGTATCGATATTGTCTGATATGCCGATAGGGCGTATTGGCCCTTTTTTTTTACGTTCCACTTATTTTTTTCAATTTTGGTTCAGAGGGGCTGGTTTAAGTCCCGATTGCCCTTTGAACCAGGCCCTAACCCGATACAACCCCTGTAGGGACGTATTGGGAAGGGCCCGATACGATACGTATCGGCGGATATGGGCCAATACGTAATGATTTTTTGATCCTTGACCTAGTGTAGTCCACATTAGGTTGGTTATTGTATGCACATACCGAAATGGAATGACTCACGAGTCATTATAGTGTATGTGTCGAAGGCCTCCGGGACCGAACCATCCTATCTCTAGGCCCATTCACCTTCAGACGCGGACGATATGGGTGAACGTGTTTGTTCATGGGATCTCTGTTGTGTGTCCTAACTTATTATAGTCCACATTGGGTGGATTGTTATATGCACATACTACGATGTAATGACTCAATGGTCATTCTAGTGTATGTACTAGAGTCCTTTGGGACTGAATCAACTTATCTCCAGGCTTGTTCACCTTCAGACTCGGGCGGACGCAGCTGATAGGGGTGAATATGTGGAGTGCATGCACTGTGTGTGTCCCAACCTAATGTATGCCACCTTAGTAGATCATTGTAAGCACACACCGATATGGAAAGACTCATGGGTCATTCTAATGTATGTGCCTGAGGCCTCAAGAACCTGATTAGCCGATAAGGGTGAATGTGTGATGTGCATGCACTATGTGCGTTCCGGCCTAATGTATGCCACTTGGTGGATCATTGAAAGAACACACTGAGATGAAAATCTTTGGGCCTGTTCACCTTCGTACGTGGTCGGACACGACCCATAAGGGTGAACGTGCGTTGTGCATGTGATCACTGTTGTGT